GGGCGTGGCTTTCTCACCTGGATAAAGGTACAAAAACACACGTGTAGTAGCATTGTACAGTAACCATCACCTAAACTGTACCGTACGATAAAGCCGAAGTCTAATAAATATTCTGAGTCAAAACACGGTGGCGCCCTCTGCAGTTCCGCGGACGGTTCGTCCAGGGGGCCCCCAAGGAAGGGGGCGCCCCTGTCGGGGGCACGAGCATTCAAGGCCCCTGCGCAGGAACCCGCAAGGCCATCTGCTGGCTCCTGTCCTTCAGGAAGCGGTTCTTCATGAGCACGGAAGATCAGATTACCGTAGAAACAAGACAAGTCATCAGGACACAGAGAGGCGCACACAGAGCCACACGCCCTGTGGTTTAGCGGACAACACGTGCCTCTTCCTCGTCCAGGTAAACGTGACAGGCCCGAGACCCACAGCTCGCCGTGCGTGAAAGGACAGCCATGCATCAGATCTGCGGGTGCCAAAGGGTGTTCCCCAGGCCGGCCAGCTACCCCGGTCACCTGTTCGAGTCAGGCTTCCTGAAGCACATACCTGGCTGGTCCACAAATAATGATACCAACGGCATGGTTTTCTGATTTTTTATTAAGAGAGTTGACCAAGGACTGTTGCCATCTGAGAGAGGTCTTATTCTACAAGAAAAGATGTTTATTTTAATACAGCACAACCACATGACAAATTAGGTTTTGAAGAGCTAATAAAGCACAAATAAAACCTCAAAATGAGACAGAAAATAGATCAGAGAATTTTTTAACTGCTTAAATAATTTAGTATGATGAACTCACCCTAGAAACTAATATTCCGATATCTCTGTATTATTCTAATATTTTTAAAAAAGTTGTCAGGTCATTGTGATATTTAAAAAACACTGCAGTCTGTCACAGTACACAGTGGAACCACCAGATGTCACACACATACCTTTCTTTGCAATCAGTTCTTTCCTTCATTTGAATTGAGCTTGGTCCCCAGGTACGACCCTTTTTCTTGAAATTCCTTTTTATATCTTCAAATTCTTCTTGTCGACAGACCGTGTTCCTGCCCCAAGTCTTACTGCTTTCATCTGAAGTCACTGAACAGAGAGCATTGGTCATTAATTTAAAAAATTTCAAGTTAAATGAATCAGATCAGTTGTAAACTTTACTTAAAATATGTAAATAATGAACTACAGCCACGCCACCCTGAAAATGCCAGATCTCGTCTGATCTCGGAAGCTAAGCAGGGTTGGGCCTGGTTAGTACTTGGATGGGAGACCACCTAGGAAGACCAGGTGCTGTAGGCATGTAAAAAAAAAAAAAAAAAAAAACGTAAATAATGAACATGAAAACAACTAAGAAGTGATTTTTTGCTCTACCAATGACAAACTGCTTTCTCTTATCATAAAAATAGCAAGAACCATGGAATAAATTAAAAGATAGAAATTCGAGGTAAATGAGAAACAACGATCCTGGTTAGTACTTGGATGGGAGACCACCTAGGAAGACCAGGTGCTGTAGGCGTGTAAAAAAAAAAAAAAAAAGTAAATAATGAACATGAAAACAACTAAGAAGTGATTTTTTGCTCTACCAATGACAAACTGCTTTCTCTTATCATAAAAATAGCAAGAACCATGGAATAAATTAAAAGATAGAAATTCGAGGTAAATGAGAAACAACGATTTCATTCTATTGGGGAGAGGGAGAGCCAAACTGAACATTTAAAACTAACGTAGTACCCTAACTTTTTAATCAAACCAATTCAAGTTTTGAACTTTAAAGATATATTTTAAAATTATAACAGGCCATTTTTCATCAGTCATCACAGTTTCGCTCAGTCATGACAGCAGTTTGGCCACAGAGACCTCTGAAAATCTGAAAATATTTTAACAGTTTCCCCAGTCTAGTCTTTTCTTCATCGTCTCACCGGGAGGTTTATATTCACATTTAATATAATGTCACGTTTTGCCGACACACATATATGCTGTCCCTCCAGCCTCAAGTGTGCTTACAATTGATTTGGAAAAAATGGTCACTGCAAAAAATAGCTATTATCACTATACACATAGAAACATAACCCTGTAACATACTAGATGTTCTAAAAACACAATTAAAAACATTATGACATATCTATACTGTGCGGCCACATAAAAAAACAAAGTTCATGTAAAACTCATATACGAGGTTCATGTAACACATATATAACCCATTTTCATTAAAACTTAAGTATTTATGCATGTGTACATACACACATACAGAAGTTTTTTTTAATTTTTTCATTTTTATTTTTTCAAGTATAGTTGAAATTATAATATTAGATTCAAGTGTTTTGAACTCTGCATCTAGTAGATTGCTTGTCTCATTTGTTTATTCTCTCTCTGGAGATTTCTTCGGTTCTTTTGTTTGGGACATGTGTCTGGCTGCCTACTTGTACTTGCTTCTATGTATAAGGTAGGACTGTTACGTCTCGCAAGCTTAGCAGATTGGCCTTATATAGTAGGTGGGCTGAGGGGCGAGTGGCACAGTCTCTCCTGGTCACCGGAGCTGGGTGCTCCATGTGTGTCCCTTGTATGGGTTGTGTGTGTCTTACTTTGTAGTTGAGCTTTGGTTCCTGTTTGCTTGTCAGTGGGAAGGACTGCCCCTCGGGCTGATTGGTGTGAGGACCGGCCGTGACTACAGTGGAGGGCTGACCCCACAGAGCAGGATTCGCTTTAGCAGGCCTCTGGTGCCTGCCTTGTCTGCCCTTTGGGTGTGTCGTCCTCAGGTGTGACCCTAGGTGGTGCTCTGGCTCACACCAAAGCTGGCCACTGGGTGGGCAGGCCGGGGCCTCACAGGCCCTGCCACAGGCCAAGTTCAGCCGTAGCCTGTGCCCTACCTGGGGCCACCTGACACGAGCCACCAGGCAATCTGCAGATGGCTGCCACCCACCCTGGGCTTGGATGTCCTCTGGGAAGCCAAACCACAAACTGAGGCTGGCTGCCACTAGTGCCAGGCTTGGGGCTGCTCAGCAAGAGGTACAGGGCACGCCGAGGCCAGATGCTGTTTGTTTAGGTTTTGTGAACCTTTAAGAGCTTTTAGCAAAGTCTGCAGCCTGAGACTTTGTATGGAAAAGCCACAGGTAGCGGCTTGGGCAGCCTGCACGTTGGGAGGGGCGGGGTCTCAGGGACTATCTGGGCGGGGCGAGCGGTGTCAGTCAGGCTGGTGGAGACAGACATGGCGGCCGCCTGCGTCCGCACAACGCGCGGGGGAGAGCTCGGCACAGGAACCATGGCTTCGGCCAGCACTGCTGTCTGGGAGGAAGCCACCCTCCAGCCCTCGCCCTGAAGCCAGACAACTCAGTCCCTCCCAGTGTCCCCGGCACCTGAAGCCAGACAACTCAGTCCCTCCCTGTGTCCCCGGCGCCCCTTGAGCTGCTGCCCTGGCGCTGGAGCTCAGAGCGAGCGAGTCCGTCCGCGGTGAGTCCATGGCGGGCCCGTAAGGGAAGCGCCTGCGTCTCCGGCCGCCCTCCGTGTCACTCAGCCACCGTCCCCGCTGGCTTTCACAGCTAGACGTTGTGGGAACCTCTCGTCCCGGCACTGGAGCCCTGGGCTGGGGAGTCTGGTGTGGGACCGGGACCCTTCACTCTTCCGGGGGGACATCTGCAGCCGAGACTCCTCTCCTGACGCTCCGCCGCCACACGCGGGTACGGGACCAGCCCGTTCCATGTCCACGTCCTCCTGCCAGTCTCAAGGTGGCCTCTGCTGTGTGTCCCCAGTGGTAGGGCTTCTGTTGTCAGGCGACTCCCAAAGACAGCTGTTCTGTAGTTTAGTTGCGATGTTGACGCGGTCGTGAGGGGAGGCGATCCCCGCATTTCCCTGCTCCGCCATCTTGACCGGAAGCCCAGAGAAGTGAACAAACGTAGATATCAAACTTTTACTCAAGTGTTCACCTTTGAGGGAGAGAACTGCTTATGTAAAGAGGGAAATATAACTTCTTTATATCATTTCTTTAAACTGGCATTATGGGTGAAGCTTGATTTGTGAGTTTCAATATTTTCCACATTTTAAAATGTACGTATAGATGCGTTAGTGCATTTATCTACATAGCATGTGTGCATGACAATCCTGAATAAGTCGCTCACTCTCATTAGGAGCCTTCCAGTAGAATTAGAGAGGAATGGGTCAGCAGCCTTCATTCCCAGGAGGGAGTGGCAGAGTGTGATGGGAAAAGCTTTAGGCTGGGGGTGATCAGACGTGAGTGTGTCTCAACTACAGTGTGCCAGCCTCCAGCCCAGGAGCCAGCAACAGTCTCTCAGCTTCGGTTTGTTCATCAATTAATGTTTCAACATTAGTTGAACTTTTACTGTCCTGGGAAGGGGATGGGCAAGGGTCCGTGCTCTGGAGCTGTGTTCGAGTCCAGTTTCCCCACTTCATAGCTGCTGAGTTAGGTCAAGTTCATAGCCGCTTCGTGTCTCATTCGGGAATCGTAAGAGTATCTACTTGATGAGGTTGTTTTGAGAATTAAATGGATTAACGTGTGGAAGTAGCTGAGAACGGTGCCTGACACTTAGCTGCTGATCACTGATGTTAACTGTTGTTATAATCGTGGGAGGGGCTGGGTCACAGAGGTCTCTGCTTTACAGAGCTGTGGCTTACCGCCCGCCCCCTGTAACCCGGCGCCTGCTCCTCGTCACTTCACTGAGTTAGCAGAGCTCTTTTGGTTTTGCTTGTTAAGCAGATTGACGAGTAGGACGGGGTCGAGCCGGGGAGGGCTCCTGACATTCAGCTTGTCCCAACCATCTCCGAGGTTCCCACCCATTGTGACAATCTGTTACTGCTGTGGTGGCAGCAGGTTCCCGAAACAACAGGAGGCTGCGATTGACTTTCCACCACCTGATTCTCCTGGATGGCGGGGAAGAGGTGGGCTTTGCTCTTGCTTTAAGACATGGACCATAAGACGTACCCCGAAACCGGAAATCCCCAGAGGATTAGTGAATTCTACCGTTTCTCATTCTCAAAGAGAAGTGTGCCTTAAGTATAGCATCATTTAACAATACCAGTCATGAGAGTAAGCCAAAGGAAGCAATACTAAGAAAAAATGGTAAGAGAATATTTTGTGCAAAAATCAGAAGGTGTTCTCTAGCAGACAGAGATTCTGGGGATGATGATGAAATACCCACGTTTTTATCCGAAGTCCATCCTACCCTGTAAGGCTCTTGACTTTGGCTTTCTTTAAACAGCCTTTGGGGCTAATCTCTTTGCTGTTCAAGTTCACCGAAATGATTCCCATCTCTCTCGATACACATAATTATTCTTTCCTTCAGTTTCAGAGGTTGTATTTTGCTTCTCACGATGCTTTCATAATCCGTTTTTCTCAAGTTTACCATCTTTGGTCCAGGGGAAACGTGCCAGACGTTAACAACTCATAGTGAAAAGAAGTTCATTCCCGAGTCAGGTGTGTGTCTAAGTGCACCCTGGTCTACCTGGGAGGGGCAGAAACTGCACGGTGGGTGTAGCCAGTGCTACAAAAGGCAGATGGCAGTGAGAGACTGTAAGGCCACACAGAGCTTCAGAACAACAGTAAAAATGATGACCGTAACGACTGTCCACACACGGAGCTCTTGCCATGTGCCAGGCGCTGTTCTAAGCGCTTTATACCCACCTGACCCTTTACATCCGCATCCTGTGTGTATCACAGGCCGTGGAGTCGGCTCCGACTCCCAGTGATGCTGTGACTGAGTGAGGCCCACAATGCCCTGTGCTCGGCGGCCCTGCTCGGCTCCCACACAGAACTACTGCAGAGTGCATCCCCAGTTTACAGCAACGGAGCCCGAGGCAACGAGGCTAGGGGCCTGTCCAGAGTCACGGCACAGGGGGCTTCGCGCCCAGGCAGGGTGGCTCCAGAGACCATGCTCTTAACTGCCACACGACACTGCATCGTGATGACAATGGGACACCTGTGTAAGCTAGTGGCCAGAGGAGACACAGAAACGAAGCTGTTGGGAGCACCTGGGTCGGAGAAGAGTACCACGACTCAGGCTAAGCACGCGACGGAACGGTCCGCACACGCAGAGCTGGGCCTCTCTGGAAGACCTGACTTCCGGCGTTTCCACCTGTCACTTCAGAGCGGACGCCGAGGACCTTGCTGCTCGGGGGCAGTGGGCACACTCCCTCAGCGGCTTCATTTCGACCCCACAGGGATTCGATTTCGTACAGATCTTAGGCCTGGCCAGTCTTATCCAGATGTGACTTCACAACTGAAGGATGAGAAGTAGGCCTGCCACTCACTGCCGGTGGGGATGAGACCTGGAACGGGCACTTTGGGCTGTTGGTGGGTTTTACAAAAAGGACCACGTGATCCAGGCACTGCTCTCCTTGGTACGTAAGCAAAGGAGCTGAGAAAGTCCGCACAAAAACCTGCTCACGAACGTTGACATCAGCCTTATTCACGGCCGCCAAAACTAACCAGGACGTCCCTCAGTGGGTGACGGATAAACTGTGTTCCACCCGGAGGATGGAATATTATCTGGCACTAAAAATAAATGAGCTGTGAGCCATGAAAAAGCAAAACGGAGGAAACTTCAATGCACGTGGCTCAGTGAGAGAAGCAATCGGAAAAGGCCACATGCTGTGTGGTTTCAACGCTATGACATTCTGGAAAAGGCAAAAACGCGGACACGGTGGAAGGATCCGTGGTCACCAGGGCTTGGAGGGCGGGGCGGTGAACAGGGGAAACCCAGAGGATTTTTAGGGCAGCGAAATACTCCGTGCGACATTATGTGCCGTATAACGACGTTCTGGTCGACTGACCGCATGTGACAGGGGTCCCGTAGATTATAATCGAGCTGAAAAACGCCCGTCCCCGAGGATGCCACCATCGTGACACGCATCGCACGACTCTCACGTCCATGGCGATGCTCGTGTAAACAAGCCTACTGCACTGCCGGTTGTACAAAGCGCAGCACGAACAGTTATAGGAGGGGCCGCACCATCCATGTGTGCACACGTGCCTCTGTTCACACAACGACGAAACCGCCTAGCGACGCCTTTCTCAGAATGTGTCCCCACGGGTCAGCAGCACAGGACTGCATAATGGCGGATGCATGTCACTGTACATCGGTCCAAACCCACAAAAAATACAACGCTAGGGGTGAATCCCAGTGTCAACTGTGGACTCTGGGTGACGATGACATGTCACCATAGGTTCTCATAAGCTAATCTGCCTGTCACCTTTGCACTGAGAGAGACAAGCCTTGTGCCCTCTGGTTCCTTTAATTAAGCCTTTCCTCTATCTGGGCAAGGACAAGGTCCGAAGTGTGGCGTCGTGAAAAGCGCTTTCTCGGAAAGACTAATTATAAGAAAATGATGGTACTTTAAGTTCTAAGATTACACATTTATTTAGATTGTTTTCCTTTAACTGTGAAGAGACTGGGATCCTGGAGCTTAAAAAAAAAGTCCGCCAGCGCCAAGGTTTCCTTACCCGCAGTAGAAAAAAAGAAAAAGCAAAAAGCAATCGCTTGCAGGCCTGAGGAGAGAGAATATTCTTTGGAATTTCGTTCTCCAAGTCGAGATGGGGAGCAGCAGGTAATTAAGCGTGGTGGGGAAAGGCGAGGATGGGAATTTACCGACCCAGCAACTCAGGCGCATGGCCAGACGAGCCACGTCCACATCGAACGCGCTCTTTTGCTTAGCCTGCTTTTGAGGTTTATTTGGACTCACCTTTAAAAATAACCGGTCGTTTTATTTCATGCCACTGAACTCTGATTCGGGGGCTAACTGAACTCTGATTCAGGGGCTAACTGAAACTCACCCAGCGCAACGGCGACAGGCAAATTAGCTTTGTGGATTCAGAAAGGCCGACTGCTCTTTCTAAAAGAAAAATACTACATGGCGTTTTGAAGTTCTAGGTCGGTCAATACTGACGAAGTTAAAGTTAAACCTCAGAGAGCAAAATACTTTTTTTTCTTTCCAAAGCAAGGAAAGAAATGGAAGTAACCTTAAGTTCCTGATTTCATTTTTCAAAATATCCGTAAACATGCCCGTGATAGAATTAAGTTATGCTAATTTTGTATCCAAGTGTGTAACTAAAATGTCTCAAGATACGGCATTTCACTCTCTACTCTGCGGCCTGCTCGCATCGCGAATTGGGTAGAACAGAAAAATACTGTGACCGTAAGGAAATTAGATTAAGGCACGTAAGGCTAGATTTTGTTTTCCAAATAGTCGTGACACCTATTAAATGCCATATGCTTAAGTTATGAAACCATGTCTGCTTGAGCCGAGCCCTGGCCAGCTGCTGCCAGCCCTGAGCCACGCGGCGGGGCGGGGGGCGCTTACGCTGTATGGCGCGGAGCCGGGGGAGCACCGAGGGGCTGCTGGGCGGGCTGGAACTGTGGCTGTGCCTCCGTCTGTCCACGCTGGGAGAGGCCTGCACGGTGATTTTGTGCTGGAAATCTGGTGGATGTGAACAAGAGGAAGAACTGAGATTTCGCGGTTTTATTTTCACAGCGACATCTTCAGTGCGTAGCCAGAGAAGCAAAACGGCCAGGTGGGAAGAATGAGGTGTAGCGCAGTCTGTTTCTGACGCAGCTTCCGTTCGGGGTTCAAGTCAGTCGATAGTGATTCGGTCTGTGCGTCAGGTACAGTGAGACACTGAGACACACGCACACACATACACGCACACACACATGCACGAAAACACATGCACACACGCACATCCACGAAAACACATGCACACATGCACACACACGGACACACACATGCACGCACACACGCACGCACACATGCATGCACACACATGCACGAAAACACACGCGCACACACACATGGACACATACATGCATGCACACACATACGCACACAAGCACATGCATGCACACACAGGCACGCACCCACACGCACGCACACACACATGCACGCACATGCACACATGCACGCACACTTGCACATGCACATGCGTACCCACGCACACACGCGCACACGCACACTGCACACGCACGCACACACACAGGCATGCACACATGCACACACACAGGCATGCACACACACATGCACACATGCACACACATGCACGCACACACATACACACATGCACACACGCAGGCACGCACATGCACACACATGCATGCACACACACATGCACACACATGCACACACACGTGGGCGCACAGAAGAAAATGAAGCGAAGCTGCACAGGTACCTCCCATGGCACAATCCTCCGAGAAGAGTGACCACCGTCGTTCAGTCTGAAATCGTTAGAAACAAACAAATGGAAGACTCTGGATTTCAGTGCATCCTGGTGCTGTCACCAACAAAATGGACCTCAGCCAGTAAGGGGCCTACCTCTCCGAGCCCAACGCCACGGCCGTCACGGGAACGAGCCCACCCAGGGCTGCGATGGCGATTAAAACGGCGAGTGCCGTTCGTGACGGGGCGCGGGGCACGCATCGTACTCCCACAGACGGGCCGCCCGGCGTCCCACCGAGCGTCAAGACCCGGGTCTCACCGCTCGGGTTTCGGTTCCTTGGGAAGGATCCCGCGTCAAGTCAAACTTACATTGACCAGATTTTTGTGCTTTTCCTCCGTCGAGCTCTCTCTGTTAGTTTAATTTTCAGACCCAGCCAGGTGCCCTGTGAGGGTCAAGGGAAACCTCCTCCTCCCCCACAGTGGACGCCTCTGTGGTCAAGGCAGTGTACCGTCCCCCAGCTGTAAGTCGGGGCGTTGTCATGACAAAGCTATGCCGAGAAGCATGGGGACATGGGAAGAAAGCATAACGTTACCGGAGGGAAGAGGAGAGTGTCTGGGAAAACGTAGGAAACTGTCAAAAAAAAATACTGAAAACTCAGACGCAGGTAAAAGAAATTCCTGGGCGTCTTCAGTGCAGCGCCGAGGTAACCTGTGATCGATCTACTGACTGGGCTGTTTTTATCCGCAGTAGGGGCAGAGGTTAATGTGTAGATTTTGTCTGTTGATGATGCAAATCATTTCTGTCTGGCGAAAAAGACAAACCCAAAGGCTATGGTTTCTTGCCATTATGGGCATTTAACCAGGTTTGTATTTAACCTAGCAATCTAATCCTGACATTCCTGTGTTAAATGGCCTGTAAACACTCAGCTCCCCCAACTTTTATTTGAACCAACTGTAATTGCGTCCCTCATTAATTAATGATTTGAATAAGATCTTCGATACATGTTCATTTCATATTTGCAAGAGAGCTAAATGTTACCTTTTTGAAAAGTAAACTTTAAAGAACTTTAAGGAACTACCTGGTATTTGAAGCAAGAAGGAGCTAGAATTTTGTAGCTAGGACAGCTGCCCGGTTATTCACGCTGGAAATATGAAAAATTTTCTTCTCCCTGGCCCTCCCTTCCTATCCAACACGAAGTAGCTTGTGAATTCTGTGGCATATATATATCCTTCTCAAAGTTATAGTCGAGAAATTTATATCCTAGGTTCTGGAGTTAGCAGACTTGGATTTTAAACCCCAGTTTACTAGCCATGAATTTTGGGAAATCAGATTCACGTCTCTGAGCACCTCCCCGCCACCATGTCAGGCTGAGGCTGCTACACTTCCTCGATCCACCCATCTTCCTGCATCTACATTCGGCCCCTCTGGTCTGCCTCACGGCAGCCAGATGCATTTTTAAAAATACATGCCCGACCATGTCACTCCCCTACTTAAAGTCCTTCAAAGGCATCTCGTGATTCTTAAGTTACAGATCAAAATCACAACATACTGTACAAACCCGGGGAAATCTGAGTCCGCTCCCGCTTCATCGTGCCCTGTTCTGTCGCCTGGGTCTAAAGCTGGGGTCGCACACTTTCTCTGTAAAGTGCCACGTGGTAAATATGTCAGTTTGTGGGCCGTGTGGTCTGTCACAGCGACTCGACTTAGCCGACAGGGTGAGAAAGTGGCCATCACAACACGAGTGAGTTCGTTCCAGTACAACTATGGACGCTGCAATTTAAATTTCATGTAATGTTCATGTGTCAAGAAAGAGTCTTACTTTCAAGCATGTAAAAGTGTAGAGACCATTCTTAGCTCGCCGGCCATATAAAACAGGCTGCGTGTGGCCCACGGGGCGTGGTTTTGCTGACCCCTGGTCAAGCCACACTGACCTTTGCTCAATTCCCGGAAGAAACCAGCCCCTCTGTGCCTGTGGCCTCTGCCTCTTCCTCCCCGCATATGTGGTAAATTCCTAGTTCGGGTCTCAATTTCAACGTTACTTCTTTAGGAATCCTTCTAGAATCTCTTTATATCAGGTGACATCTCTCTGCTGATCACTGTCATATGACTTTTCTCTCACAGCAGTTAATAATTATAGCAAGAAAATAAGTATTTGCTTAACTATTAGCTTCAGGTTTACCCCTCCCCCAACACGACGCCAGGTCTCCGAGGGCAGGTGCCAGTGCGGTCTGCACACGGCTCTATCCCACCCCCGTCCCAGGGGCAGAGCACCTCACACATAAAGAGCATCTGTCCAGCCTTTGCTGAGCGGCTGTTTTCCCTGGTTAAGATTATGAGTGACGTGAGGGCAGGAGCCGTGTCGTTTTATCCGGGTCATCGCCAGCACGTGGCAGAGCCTCCAGCGCGTGAGGAAGGAGAAGACTGTGAAGTTTTGCAACGGGTTCCAACTGGCGCTTAAAGTTAACGGCTGACAGATAGATGGCAGGGCGGAGGGTGGCATGAAAGACCGAGCAAACGAAAACCAGGTGCCAGGTGTCAGGTGGGGGGCTTCTGCCACCTACCAAGTAAGAGATCATGAAAGGTTTGGCCAGGCTCAGTGACTTAAGCAAAGAATGTCAGCAAACGGCTCAGGAGACGGGATGGCTGACTGGTGTCGGGGCGGGGTGACGGCCAAAGGAAGAAACATTCTTACCCACAGACACAACAGTTTACTCTCGATGGAAGAGCTTATGAAGGATCCCCTAGCCCTGTGACCGTCACACTCACTGGAAGCACATTCTCCGTGAGTTCTCACGGCAGGAGGGCTGCAGCCCTGGCTCTTAGAGCTTCAGACCTAGAACACAGACCCAGGCCAGTCCTCTGCGTGACCAATCATGGGGAACAGACGGAGGGAGAGGGGACCCTAAGCAGAGCCCAGGGACCAGCAGGGGACATTCATCAGGCCAGGGATGGCAGCACACACACAGGCTGGACTTGAACACCAAAGACGCGCGGCACTCATGACCGTCCGGAAGTCTAAGCTGTCACGGGGGCTGGGGAGGGGTCCGGGGAAGGGAGGCCCGCTCTGTGTTTTTGTTCCGTGTGTGTGTGTGTGTGTGTGTGTGTGTGTGTGTGTGCTCTCTCTCTCTCTCTTTTGAGATAAATGACGTATAACATTAGTTCCAGGTGTACAGCATGATGATTCGATATCTCTATACACTGTGAAGTGGTCATCGCAGTAGGTCTGGTTAACACCCACCACCACACGGACTGACACTTCTTTTCTGCGATGAGACCTTTTAAGATCTACCCTCTCTGCAACTTTCGAGCACACAGTACAGTGTTCTTACTTAGAGTCGCCGCGCTGTGCCTCACACCCCGGGACTTGTTTCTCTGGAACTGGACGTTGTACCTTTGACCCCTTCGCCCATCTCACCCCTGCCCGCTCCCCATCAGCGGTCTGTTCTCTGCATCTATAAGCTCAAATGGTTTTTTTTTTTAGATTCCACATATCACTGTTTAGGTTGTAAACATAAAGAAAATACTCTTTCTTATAAACATCCCCGTGAAGCGAGGAAAGGTCGATTCTGTCCATTATACATTTAGGAATGTGGAAACTGAACTGCCACATGACCCAGGCTGCTGTTCAGTGTTCTTTGTCCTCGAAAACAACTGTTCTCAACTTATCTGCTCATAGCAGGTTATTATGTGGTCCGTGGGCTTTTGGGTGAAGTCTATACTTGTATTTTTATTGGGAATATTTGTGTTTCATTCAGGAAATCCATATAGCCTCAGAGAGAATAATCATTTTTAAGCTGAAAGTAGTAGTATTCTTTAAAGAATCCTTGTGAGGCGTCTGCTTCCTCTCCCCTACACACATACACACACCTGCTCTCACGCTCGCACACGTGAGGCAGACGAGCGTGGCAGGCTTTGGGAACTTTCAAAGTGGTGGCAGTTAAAATGCCAGTGCTGTAGAGAAGGACCAGCTTTTAAAGGTTTTAAAACTTCTTCGCCTTGTTTTTATGCTCAAAAAACACAAATTTGGTTCGAAATAAACCTAATACAGAGGCGGTGACATAAAGTGATCACAACTTAATAGCTACTGTGATCATTCTTTTGCTTTCTAAAAATTCCAAGAAATTCTAAGAATTCACAACATATCATTTAAAATCTCTTGTCTTAGATTATACCGTCTCATTT